GTGTTGTATACTGCTTTGTTAATCCGTCATCACTTTCATCTACAACCCTAAATGATATAAAATTATACATTAATTATTTCCTCTCCAGACGACCGCCCAGATTTATTTTGTCGCTTTTTCTATCAAAAATTAAAATGTCAACAAGGATTTGCTCTTAATTTTATCAAATACATAATAAATAATCCTCATTATTTTTTAAAAAAATTATCCTAAATTTATATGTCAATAAAAAAAAATATCTTAAAAAATATATTAATAATTTGCATATAAGTTTCATTAGTGTTTAATGGCATTTTTGTAATTTAAATAGACAGCATTTTTTTTTTTTTTTACTTAACATAAAAAATATCATGGCTATAAAATTCAACTATTGTAAATCCTCCTCAGTAGTCAATGCTATTTCAATAGAATGAAAAAGATATAAAGGTAGATCTATTATTATAATAGATAATATGTCTATAAATTTAATTCCTTAAAAAAATCTTTAATTCCCATATTTTCAATTGATTGAAAAGGTAATCAGTCAGTGTAGTAAAGGAGTAATCTATTGTAATATTTTATATACATATTATGTGTTATATTTGTCAGTTAGATATGATTATATATATATATATATTTACGATTAATATAATATGTGTTGTTTAACTTCCTAATGTATTATGTACACACTTATCCGTGAATGTTTAATCTGATATCGCCATTTACAATTAAATTGCACATTATGGTTAAATTGTAAAACTGATATACATTGTGGATGAATTATAAAACTAAATAAATGTAAATAATGGTTCTACCCAGCGTCTACATGAGCGGAACAGTTTGCATTATATTTGGAGGGGGTAGGCGGCTTTAATAAGGGTAGGATAAATTTTTTGGAGGGTTATCTATTGAATTTTGAGATAAAATAGGACAAAATTTATAGCTGTAAAAATTTTTATTATAGAACTATTATAATACAATTCATCGACCAAATCTATATATTGCAAATAATCATACACATTGTTTTCCAAATAAAACTTTCTGCTATCCTTTTAAATTACATTTAAAAGGTTTAGATATTTCAGCAAGCTCATAAAGTTATAATAATAAATTCATTGTAAATAATGGAGGATTTAATTGAATTTATTATCTAAAAAATAAATCCTATATTCACAAAATATCGATAGTTGGTAGTAGAGATAGATTAATTTAAGTTATCCTTTATAAATTCTCTGAAAAGAGTATCATTATAATTAAAAAGGTGAAAATAATAATATGGAAATATCGCCGCCTAAGATGGAGGGATTTTTTTAGGGGGGGGGGGTTAGGTAAAGGTTTTTGAAGGGGGTTTGCATCCAGTGAAAATCCTGTCATGTAGATGCTGGTTCTACATTCGCTAAAGTCAGCACAACATAATAAAACATAATTTCTTGCTAGAAGCCATTTTTTAGAGGTTTTAGAATTTGTCTTGAATTTTGGTTTGGATATAAAATATTTTTTTAAATCTTGCGATTTTGATGAAGTATCTACTTTAATATTATGTTAAGAAGTCAAGTGTTTTAAAATATTTCCTGTGCTAATGTTTATTGAAAAGTTTTGAATTTTATAGCTAGATTATATTTTACAAAAAATATTTTTTAATTTTTTCAAGATTTTGGCTAATAGCCTTTTCTAAGCAACAATTGCAGTAAAATTTATCAGAATTTATGGAAATTATTTTATTACCTCTTTTTAAGTATAAATAACCAAAGAATTTCCAGATTATGGATTTTTTATTTCGCAGAGTTAGGATAGTAAAATTATTTATAGAATTTTAAATGTAGATGCATGCATTTTAAAAATATGTAAAATTATGATAACTTTTAGAATTTTAGATTTTTGATTGATTGAATTCTATAATGAAGTCAATATAATTATGATTTTAATATAGTAAAAAATAAAAATTCATCAAAATCCTGATTGACATTATAAAAAATTACAACAGTTATGTTGACCAATTATTATAGTAAAAAATATGAAAATAATTTCTTAGCCGGCGTGATTTTCTTAAAAGGCGGCGTTTTCGGCGTAACCAAAAAAGGGCTGGCCGGCGCACAGGTCTAAGTATAACTAAATATTTTTTGCTAGAGTGGTTATAACGTTTACCAGTTCATAAAATTAGACTCTGTTATCGAGCTTTTCAGGTGTATGTATTTAAAGGTATATTTGGTTTGTATGAGGTATTTAGATATAGTGTGGACATTTTTCAGTCTCAGATTAAAATTTGTGACATATTTCTATGTTTTTTTTAAAATAAGTGTGACTCTTGTCCAGTTACTTCCATTTGTGCCTGAGTAGTAAAACCATTGAGTAAAACATGTAATTGCTAAGAGAGGCTTTAACGATTGTTAAAGAGTAGGTTTTTAGTAGATATAATTTCCAGGTTAGGCCCAAATAAGAATTGAGTGCGTATTTTTTTATAAAATTTATATTACACGTTTCTATTTACAAACCACCGTTAACGATTTATTACTTAAAGTTTTATGGTATAAGATATTAAACTTAAAAAAAATAATTTCATGTGTGATGATAGAAAAGAGATAGCGCTTGGTTTATATTACGGTACTATGAATAGTCGAAGTTGCATAATCATAATTTTATTTATTGTAATTCAAAAATTTCATAATATAGATCGTGAATGGGCATCACTAATCTCAGGGGCTCAAATTTTTTTTTTTAGCTAACTCACCTTTTTTAGTGGTAAAAAAATAAATTTTGAGGAGGCTCTTCAAATTTTTCAGGGGGCTCGAGCCCCTGACCTCCCCTTCCCCCCTCCCATTCTCCCCCAAAGTGATAATATTAATATAAACATTTAGACTCAAATTAGAAGAATAACTACGATATTATATGTAATGTTGGTAATTTTATATTATAGAATAGACTCCACAAACCCTATTTTGTGCGGGCCTTCGGCCGGGTTGTAAAATATTTTTACAAAATAGAAGGTTAATTTTATAAAAAATAATTAGTAACAAATATGAAGTTATTAGTTTATATGAAATATAATAAATGACTTAAATATACATTAATATAAAAGCATGGTAATAATTTATTCCAAACAAGTATAAGAAATTTATTTATAAAAGGTAAGTAGACATATGGTTGATATTCCTCTATTATATAGAATTAGTTGCAAAATACTAAAATTCCCCTTTTACAGACATGTTTGACAGTTAGAGAATATATTACATTTAATATTATCAAATTTTACTAATCAATGCTCTTGATAATTATTTAACGCCATCTATATATTTTAAATATAAATTGATATTAAAAATTAATCTTCATATTATACATCCCACAATGCCTTTAAAAGATATTTTCTGATGTCCTTATCAATATTTTATAGTTTTCTGTAAAATATATAATTCGCTATATTGGTAAAAATTAATTGATTGTCAATGAAATCTACGACATATAATATTCCACTGTTTGCATTGTGCTTTAATTTTTTTTATTCTATTTATGATTTAATTTTATCAATAGTTTTATAATTATATTTTACTTTTAGTAATATAAATAAATTAAAGTTACTCACTTTATAAAAAAATATATTTGATATATTATATTATTTAGTAATTTTAAGGGTCTATTATTAATAATTAAAATACATTCCACTTTTGACTTCAGACTTATCTATTCCATTTCTTAAAAAACATTTTTGGTTCATTTTTTTTATATATAAATGCTTTTTTTCTAAAAATGTATAAATTATGATGAATAGTTTTATAAAAAATTATCAACTTTTACATTTTTTCTTTCAAATTATTGTTTAAGATATATACATACATTTTTTGGGGTCAGGGAATGGGGTGGGGGCTAAGGGGGATATTTTTTATTAGCTTAAAATGATATAAAAAGTAATAAATTTCTGAAGGGGGGGAGGGTTATCTCTTGTCCCCACCCCTGGCTACGCCTATGTATTATAGAGTATGTAAATGATTATGTTTTAAATAATATTTACTACGCCGATGTATTATAGAGTATGTAAATGATTATATTTTAAATATATTTAAAGAAAAATTATATATATATTTATGTTTATAGAATTTTATTGTTTAGTTTTTTTATGTGTAAGAGAATTTTTGTTACCTTTAATTTTTTTTTATTTTTCTTAATTTTGACTTTAATTTTTTATAATATATATTAAATTTCTTAATTATATTTTTAATTTTTATTATTTTATAATTATGTTGGATCATGTAATAAAGATACAAGGTCTTTTAAACTCTAACTTATTAAAGTTTTTTACTGATTACCAACAATTCTTATTAACTTCTATTTAAATCTACTTTTCAATCCTTCTTTTTACAGTTACGTCAATCTCACTTTCTAAACTAAATATAATAATGTATATCGTAAAATAAATATGATTCATTTTTGTTTCTACCTCCTTATAACTTTTTATTAAGTTATATATATATATTTTTAAAATTGATAATACTTTATTTAAAAACAATTTTTAATAGGTTAATCTAAATATATAATAAGAAAATAGCATTCAAGTTAATCATATTTAACAAAAAGAAAAGTTATCATTAGCTGATAGATATTGATATAATAAAAATTGTTTAAAATAATAACAAAAAATACGAATTTTAAAACTAAAATAAAATATACTAAAATATATCTTAAGGGAATCTAACAAAAACAAATCGACTATTTCAACAAATTTTAAATTTAATCAACTATTAAAAGAAAAATAAATAAATTCTAATATTTTATTCCGTTGTTTTTATTTTTAATCTATAAATAATATTTATTTTAATTTATCTCTTTTTTTGAATGTCGTCTTATATTACCCTTTAAGGAGGTAAAGTATCTGGCTATGAACATGGAAAAAAATCTAAATTTTTGTTAGAGATATTCTGCAGCATCAGCTCTGAGGCGAACTAATGTGTGTTTATTATATAATTTTGAAAAAAAGGGATTGTTAATAGGCATAAATGACGAGATAAATTATATGAAATTGGTTGTCAATCTTTTGATTTTAGCACAACAGTATGTTTCCCAAATCATTTTATTAACGTAATAAAATTTGGCACAACACCAAATTAGAAAATGCTTTTATTCTACAATAATTAAGTATATACATTTATATTATAAAATTAATAGATTTATGGTAATAAATTTACTTTTAATTTAATTTATATATTTTCTCAAGTTTACTAAGTATTCTGTTATTTTCTTAAGATTTGCTACAATATATTATAGTATATTTAAAAAATTGGAATCTGTATGTATATTTTAATAATTGCAAAAATTTTAATATTAATTAATGAAAGTTCCAAAATCATTCATTGACTCTTGTTGACTTTTTCCATAGGGGTAGGCAATATTTTTCTGGATGGAGGAATAGTTTTTTATCCAAAATGTTAAAAGGCCCTATATCTTTTAAATATGATAATAGAGTATTTATGGTTTTAATCAAAGTTGGTCTAGCACCATTTGTAAATCTTATCTTTATTTTGAATATTTATTTAGTTTTTCCATCCATAAATTTTGTTGAAAGTGTCTGCCATTTGAAAACCTTTGGCTGGGTTATTTTTTTTTATAAAATATTAGTTTAAAACATTGGTTAATCAATGTTAGCTGACAAATTTCCCAACTTTTATATATTTTATTTTTAATGATAGACTTGGATTTCTAATTCTATAATTATACCTAAATCATGTTTTTCTAATATTTGTTTTATTCAATATAACTTATCATTATCTTTTATTAAAATATTATTTTATTTAGTGATGTGCCAATATTTATAACTGAATCAGATTAGATCAATTTTTTGTATCTTTTAAAATACTAATTATTGGCTGATTTTAAATTTTATTATCAAATTCAATAAAATGGCATCTTAATTTAAATTTATTAATATTTAAAAAAATATATAAGTAAAGAACATTTTTATATAATTAAAATGATAATATAAAAAAATAGTAATAAAATACATAATATATTTTTTATAAGAATGTTTATATTTTAAAAACTTAATAATGGATTTGTAAAAAATTTTAACAATTTATATTGATCTTAAATAGAATACTTTTTTACTCAATAGAATGACTTTAGAACAAAAAAAAGTTAGGGAACTAATTTTATGGCTATGATCTTTATTTTATAGTTTTATATTTATATTCATAGTTTAATAATTATATTCACTTCACAGCTTAATAATTATTTTCATAGTTTAATAATTATATTATTTTTAATTCTTTTTACGGGTCATTCTACGTCAAATGAGCAAAAAAAATGAGATTTTCGGCCGACCCCCTACGATTTTTTTAAAATTTGGTAAGCAAAGAAAGGTCAATGTTACTAAGAAATAGCCAAAATTTTAGCCTCCTAACATTTATATTTTTGAAGATATTAGGGTTCAAAGTGGCAAAAATGACGTATTTTTACCATTATCTGCCTTCATTCAATTAAGCATATCTTAAAAACTACATAATTGTAAATAACAAATTTAATATCAAAATTACGTACAAAGATTCTACTTTTAGATAAATAAAAATTTTTATTTTTTTTTCCAATTTCCGGTCATTTTATTTAATATATAAGGACTAAAAACGATTTTTTGGAAATAATACGACCTTCAATTTTTTTAAAAAATTTAGTAGACATTATTAAACTCTTCCTTTATATTTATAAAAAAAAATTGGTCTGGGACGCGGCCATCTTCATTCTCAAAATGGATAAAAATGTTTAGGAAAGTGTATAAGTATTTTCACGAAAATCGGCGTCTTTGTATAAAATTATATATTAATAAGTTTTTAATGGTTTTTCTTGAACTATTTGATATAATTAAAAGGATTATTCATCTTGTAAGTGAAAATAACAATAAATGGGGCTTTCATTCAATTATAGAAATTGTCTATCGATAAAAGAAATTCAATTTATTACTTTATTTATAATTTATTATAAAAATTTTTGCCCATATAACATATATTTAATAAATATTAATAAAATATGTTCAATTAAGTTTCGAGTTCTTGAATATATGAATCAGAATCTTGTGCATTTCATATATGGCGCCCTAAATATTAAAAAAATTGATATAATTTAAATTTAAACTCACTTTTAAAAGATTCTAATTTTTTGGTAGTGCATTTACTTTCTTGTGACGACAATGTATAGTATAACTACGGCCAGTAGCATTTAACAGTGAAACTAATGTTAAGATATGACATTTGGGCAAGCAAAGAGTGTCGTCTATACTTGGAAATGTAAAGGAATTAGAAGGTCCGGATGGGTGTAGAAACTTTATATATATTTCTTCCTGCTTTTGATTTTTCACTAAAACAAAGCTAACCACCAATTAGAATCATAAGGATACGTTAGGTATCCTGATATTTCTTCAATAATTATACTTTCATCATTATATGATAACTATTCTAAAGTACTTTTTATTGAATTGGAATACATTTTACTTTTAAATTATGTAGATCTGTTGGAATCAAGGTGTGTATTTTGTGTGTTCCAGGTATAGATCTAGTTTTTGAAAATCTTTCCCTGAGTAATAGATCTTCGTAATCATTATTTATTTTGGTCATCTATTCAAAATATATGACATTAATATTTTCTTTAGCTAACTCGTACAATTCATATGATGTGTACTTTGAGTAAGGCTTTGTAAACTAGCTCTAGAGGCTAATCTTTTAACAGTGTCACCAATCCCTTCACAAACACTTTTCCCGTGTGCTGTAGCAGAAAAATGCCATTTCGCCTGTACCCCGAAATCCATCTCATGATAGCAAATATTAATAAAATTTTTACGATTTTTATACTGTGCAGCGGATCCACCGGAAAACAAAAAATTTTATTAATTAAAAAATTTAGCAATGTTTTTTTAAAGTTATGTACTGCTATTGTATTGTGTTGCAAAGATTCGGATATCATTACATAATTTAGGCAACAAATATTGAAATTATCTTTATAATATATAACAAAAGGGTGAGCAGTGGATTGAGCCCTATTCCAATGATAATTTTGTACTTCATCCTGAAGTATAAAGTTATAATTTTCTTAAAAATCACATAAAATTAAATATTGGTCTTAGTCTAAGTTCAATTTTAGATTGTTTTGATACAACGATTGTTGCGTTGAAATAAAAAAATGGAGTAATAAAGATTCCATTTTTCAAAAAAGGCATTGATAAATTCACCTACTGGTAAGAATGGTTCTATCTACGGATAGCCATTGTTTGTATGTTATAAATTCGATGTCCTTAGAACGAAACAATATTTCTATTTGATCGCGTAAATGTGTTGACCCTGGACAATTATCACATTTTCCCATATAAACTGGATGGTTGAGGCGAATTACAAATTATTAAGTGTAAAATATGTTTGTATGTTCCTAAAGGGCAACATATCATTGGTTAATTTGGGTGAATTTGATCCAATGATCATTAATTTAAAATTTTGGTGGTAGCTAATCACATACATGTGTACCACTACCTCCAACGAGTATACAATTTTTAAGCGAATGCTTGCAAATTTCGAAAAACCAATTTTAACATCAGGCCTCATTTCTTTAAAAAATATATGAATTTCTTTCAAATTATCTAAAATTAATCTCTTATGTATGGTATTCTTTTTTCCGTCTTTGGTCAAAATCGAAACGCAATCTTTCTTGCCTGGCATGATTCTGCTTATTTCGTCCATACAATAAAATTCTTGTACAATTTTAACTGTATATTCGTCTATAGTTTTTCCAGGCTTGGGGTTAGGTGTTGATAGAAATCAAAATACCAAGAAATTTATTAAAAAATGAATTAATATAGTGAGCATGTGTTATTGAATGATTAAAACCCTTTCGCGCCCGAAATATTTCCCATGAACAAAAAATACTTGTACTTTGATATAATAAAATAATCATTTTGACATTTTGATATAATAAAATAATGATTTTGACAGGTTAATGATAAAATATGAATTAATAAATATTGTTTTATAAATTAATATCTCTAAGTACCAACCATTAGTTTCTTTAAATATAAAAATTAATTGATTAAAAATTTTAATGACAAATGATCTCGCTGGGCGCGAAAGGGTTAATCAATTTTAAAATTTTTATTTATTTTATTGATTGAAACACTTATTTATTGTTATTCTAATTTAGTAAGGCTATGCCGATTTTAGAAAATCTGATCCAATATTTATATTGTTTTGGGTAATTTTATGATAATACTTTTATTTTGTATATAATTTCATAATTGTAATATTTTAAAAATATCAAATTATTTTAAAAAATTGAGTAGAGAAAATTTTGATATTATTTTTGGCGTCTATGAAATGGATAAGATTCTGATTCATATATTCAAGAACTATAAACTTAGTTGAATATATTTTATTAATATTCATTAAATATATGTTATATGGGCAAAAAATTTTATAATAAAGTAATAAATTGAATTTCTTTTATCTTTTATCGATAGACAATTTCTATAATTGAATGAAAGCCCCATTTATTGTTATTTTCACTTACAAGATAAATAATCCTTTAGATTATATCAAATAGTCCAAGAAAAACCATTAAAAACTGATTAATATATAATTGTCCAAGAAAAACCATTAAAAACTGATTAATAAATAATTTTATACAAAGACGCCCCCTTTCGGGGAAATATTTATACACTTTTCTAAACATTTTTATCGATTTTGAGAATGAAGATGGCCGCGTCCCAGACCAATTTTTTTTTATAAATATAAAGGAAGAGTTTAATAATGTCTACTAAATTTTTTAAAAAAATTGAAGGTCGTATTATTTCCAAAAAATTGTTTTTAGTCCTTATATATTAAATAAAATGACCGGAAATTGGAAAAAAAAATAAAATTTTTTTTTTATCTAAAAGTAGAATCTTTGTACGTAATTTTGATATTAAATTTGTTATTTACAATTATGTAGTTTTTAAGATATGCTTAATTGAATGAAGGCAGATAATGGTAAAAATACGTCATTTTTGCCACTTTGAACCCTAATATCTTCAAAAATATAAATGTCAGGAGGCTAAAATTTTGGCTATTTCTTAGTTACATTGACCTTTCTTTGCTTACCAAATTTTAAAAAAATCGAAGGGGGTCGGC